CCCCAAAACCCCAAAACCCCAAAACCCCAAAACCCCTTAAAGTCGTTGTTCTGTTATAGTTATTTATATAAAAACAGGAAGAAGGAATGAGACCGCTAAGTTGTAATCATATGCAACCTATCAAACGATCTGAGGCCAAATGAGAGAAGGTATCTCTAATCAAGCCTCAAGAGTAAATAAGATAATGCAGGTTGCAAAACTTCATTGTGGTATTGATGACTCCTTGTTGTCTAAATAATGGATATAATTGTAACTTGAATTCGACGTCATTCAGGACATTTGTGGTCTCCTTCACAAGTGATTAAAGTTTGAAGATTGGAGAAAAGGATGGGTTTAATAAACTCTTAAAGGCTCTTTCGTAAATGAAGGCAAGGGTAAATTCCAGTCAAGTAATATTTTAGGTCCTCCAGTTCGAGCAATATCTCTCTGTTAATCATCTGGCTTGGGGTAAGATGATGGAGAAGTATTATAATGATGGAGATTTCATAAATACTCATGAAAATAGTGGAAATGAAGACTATGAAGTTTTTAGAGTTAGGCATAAATACTCTCAATCTGTCTCATATGGGGTCAGGAATAAGCACCATTTTAATCCTAATGAAGCCCCAACTATCACTGATATAGTCCTGAAGATGATATTTACAGCCAATAAAAGAGAAAGGTAGATACATTTCGAATTCATTTTAGCTACGGTTTTAGCTTTGGTTTGGATAATTTATCGTACAACTTTTGCCTCAGTCTGGTTATGATTAAGTGGCTGACAGCTGGTCGCTTGATCTGTTTACCCGGGTCTAAATAAGTAGTTGATCCTTAGCATATCTCCTTTCAAAATTAATCAGTTCTTTCTCTAAACTCTCCTGCCTTGACATATCCTGTGAACTAATGGAGCCTAACCTGGTGATTATAGGGATGCGAAACCTCTGACACTATCTCACCCAGAAAGATGCATAATATATGTTGGAGCAGGCACATTTATGTACCTTGGTGCCTGAATGTCAATGCCTGGCAAACCCAGCTTGGTCCTTAAGCATGGAGTCAAATACGGAACTTTCAAGAGAGAATATGACTTACCAAAAGCAGAGCCCGAATAAAGTTTTGGTCAAGGTCTAGCAGAATTTGTGGCTTTGAGATTTTGGGTTTGCTCGTATTAGCCACTTTTTGGTTTTGAATAAGGGCAAATTTGAGAGGTTTAGAAAGCTCTTGAATAAAGAGCTGGAGGAGCTAAAACAATGCAAATTTATAATTTTGCTTAGAAAGTCGGCAGGGAAAAGTTATGTCAATTTCTGACAGTTTTTGCATTTTAGTAGAAAATAGACCAGATTTTTGAAGTCGATTTCAAATATTTTGGGGTGCTAGAGATCTATAAAATTTAATACTATTTTGTGATTATCATGGATTATATATAAGAAATACCTTCCTGATTTTTCCAAGCCTGTGGCTTCCTGTAAGGTTTGTGGCATAATTGATTGCCAATCACACATAGTCTATATATTTACTAGGCAGATTTAATTTGTAAACACCTCTATTTCAGTGACAATGAGATATCCCCAACACAGCTACTCTAAACTTGCCTATCTTTGGTTAAAAAATTTTGAAGTATGAAGATTAGGTATGAAAATCAAGAATGGGTATTATCCATCAAGCAAAGATACATAAGATTGAAATAAGAGGATATATTTAAAACCAATTAAGATATTAAAATAAGGGGTTTTGGGGTTTTGGGGTTTTGGGGTTTTGGGG